GGGAAAAAACCGAGTTGGGGTGATTCCCCCCTCTGGAAAACATTTGAAATCATTAAAGGCAGCTCCTTGAACAACCCCAGGAGTTTTTTTTTGTTTTTTCATGAGGTCTCGGTGGGGGAGGTCCAGAAATTGCTTTGTTTGTGATTGTGGGCCACCCGAACCCTAGGAAAAACCCAGAACAAATCAGAGTTGGAAGGTCACTCGGGGTTTCCCGGCCGGTTTTCTGAAATCGTCTTGTTTTGAGTGTGGGGCCGAGTTTTTTTTTTTGTTTCCTGGCCTTTTTCTCTGGTTTGTTCTGGAAGGTTTCTTGGGGGGTTCTGAAATAGTATTGTCTTTACTTGTGACGCCGAAGAACTTCCGAAAAACCTCTAGGTTGGGGGGTTTCTCGGGGTTTGTGTCCTCGCTGGATCAATTCAGAAAACATTTGGAACAAACTACCCGCGTTTTTTTTTTGGGGGGGGGGTCCCCCTCCCCCACAACAAAACATCAAACATACCTCCGTGTTGCTGTTTTTTATTGTTTCGGCGGCCGCCTTGGAAAACATCATAAAACAAGTACACCTACAGGTACAGGTACAGCCTGCATGCCGGTTCCAGAGGAGCGGCCCCTCAAAGGGGCAGGCGGCGGCAAAGGACAGTGAAATGTGTCTTGGGTGAAAACAGCAGTATAGGTCGCTCACTTCTGGTAGAAGACGACAGACACGTGTTGGCACGTGGATTGCAACAGGAGACAGAAGACGAACGAGACAAGAGATAAACGTTCACCCGAATAGGTATGACAACGAATCTCCCTATCTTGAATAAGGCCTGCCTGGGCGACGAACAGCGGCGCAGCGAAACCACGGCCTCCACGTCAGGAGTCGGCGGCTCCACTTCTCCTCTGCCCCAGAAGACACCTTCGTCGCAAACGTGAACTTCCGAGAAGCATGTACAGTTGCCCAATTCTGAAAGCCCCACTCCGCACACGCAGATTCCACCCGGATTGTCGCTCTTTTGATGTACTCAACCCATGACTCCTCTGCGCCCCGGGCCACGCGGAAGATCTTCCTGGCCATCTTGCGCCAAGCTACTCTCAACCTGTTCCTGTCGACGGCGCCGAGGGTCCAGCATTCGCTGCCGTATAGGGCCGTGGGCGTGACGACTGCCTCGAACAGCCTGAAGCGCGACCTCAGCGGGTATGATCGAGAACACAATACGTCTTTGAACTTTGCAAAACATCTCCATGCTGAAGACAACCTGCTTGACAGCTCCGCTTCATGGTATTCGCCCATGCACAAAACTCGCCCCAAATACTTCTCTTTGCTCGTCTTCGGAACCACCTCGACCAGGGCCCCGGCCACCTGGACAGTTGTGGGTACGTTGGCGGTAACATTTGTCAAGACCTTGGTCTTCCCCATGTGCACCACCAGGCCGTATAAAGCAGCTTCCTTTTTCAAGTCTGTGAGCATCATAATCACGTCCCCCTTGCTTTGTGCGATCAAAAGCACGTCATCTGCAAAGCGAAGGTTGGTGAGTGGGTCTCCAAGCTCGTCGACGACCATGCCGTAATACTGCCCCACGCGGCGTTTATTGAGTCCGTGCCACCTTTTCTTCAGGCTGCGGAAACACACTTCCATCACTGCGATGAACAAGAGCGCACTCACCGGGTCGCCTTGTTTCACGCCTCTGGAAAAATCGAACGCCCTCGATTCCACGCCTGCTATGACCGTCGCTGTCTGGTGCCTGTACAACCTTTGCAATAGTCCGATGTGCTCTTCTCCGACGCCCAACAAACGCAATGCCTTCCATAAAACAACAACAACGAAACATGTAAACGACCACAACACAACTCCGAGTTGGGGGGGTCCTGGCGGGGTTAGCCCGAATTGCGATTTGAAGGGGTTTGCCCGATCGCTCCCGGGAGCTCCCAGAAGATCGCAGAAAAAACCTCCCAATGGTTTGCTTACCTAATTTGTTTTTTTTTGGGGGGGGGGGCGTGTTTTCGTTTTTTTTTTTTTTTTTTTTGCTTTGGGGGGGTTCCAGATATGATATTGTTTTTAAGTGACGGGTCCCAGAAACCCGCCCAACCCCCCCAGACATCTCCCCTGGCCCTCCTGGCCCCTTCCGGGATCCGGCCCTGGACAAAAACCCCAACTTGTTTTTTTTTCGGGGCTTCCCGGGAGAGTTCCAGGTAACTCCCACACGGGTTTCTTTTTTTGTGGCCCCTTGTGGGGGTTGTCTTGTATCATTCGGGGCCACCGGGGGACTATCTTGAGGCTTCTTGGCGTTGCCTTGGGGTCATTTTGGGGCCTGTGACCCGCCGATCCCCACTCCTGCGCCGCTTTTGAGCCTCTCCTGGGGCGTTCTTCGGAGTCAGTGGGCCGTCCCGGAGGTTGTCCGGGCCCCTCTGTAAACCGTGTTGGTCGACATCACAGCCATCTGGATGCCTGAAGAGTCTTTAGCGCGCATGTAGTAGATGTAATACTCAGAACCTGTTGCTGAAGATTAGTTGGACACCTGTGTCCCGATGGGCCAGCGTTTTTTGGTCTTTGTAGGCCTCGTTGGCGTCCTCTTGGAGCCCTCCTGGGGCGTCTTGGGTGTGGAGTTTGAGGAAGGCGCAATTGATAGCGGCATTTGGAAGACAAATCTGCTTCCATCCTTGTAACTGCTGGAGGA